CTTGGTGGAGGAGTGGGGATTGGTGATGGGAAGAAGTGGGAGAGGCAACTGTGGAGCTGAATACACTCTTGTCCTGACTTCACACAGACACTACAAACACTGGGCAGGGCACAGTACTCAGGGGCAAATTGTTTTGGATTCTGTTGGTTGGGGGGAATGGCCTCTCAGGGGAGAGCAGCAGCAGCTAGGGCAGTGGCACCTCATCTGGCGCTGGTGTACAGCAGGGACGGTTAATGTGTAGGTCAGTATCGAGAGGGGGTCTCTATGGTCAGACACAATGAGACATTTCTGTGGCCACAGGTGAAACTCCAGGGCAGTGTGCTGCCTCCCTGGTGCCAGGGTGAAAGATGTCTTTGAGCAGGCACAGGGCATTAGGAGGGTCAGCAGCCAGAGTCTGTGGTGCACATTGGTACTAACAACATCGGCAGAAGGAGAGATGAGGTCCTGCAAAGGGAGTTAGGGAGGAAATTAAAAAGGAGGACCTCAAGATTTGCAATCTTGGGATTACTCCCTTGCCATGCATCAGTGAGGCTAGGAATAGGAAGGTATTCCAGTTAAATCTGTGGCTATATAGTTGCTGTTGGAGGATCATTTGGGATTTCTTCCAGGGCAGGAGGGACCTGTACAAAAGACCTGTATGGGTTGCACCTGAACTGGAAGGGCATCAGTATCCTGGCAGAACAATTTGGTAGTGCCACTCGGGAATGTTGAAACTAGTGGTTGGAAGGCGGGAACTAGAGCAGAACTGTGGAGTGATTGAGAAGAAGGTAGAGGTTAAGTCAAATCTAATAGCAAGAACAGGTAGGGCCAGGTTAATGAACATGGCGGGATTGCTGTTGCCTGGATGGGAGTCTATTAGCTATGAGGGAGAAGTTGCGTAAACTTGGATTGTTATTGCTAGAACATCAGTGGCTGAGGGACGACCTTACAGAAGGATATAAAATGATGAGAGGCATGGATAGGGTGGACAGTTGGACTTTCTCTTCCAGGGTAGAAACGTCTAGTACTAGGGGACATAGGTTTAAGGTAAGAGGGGGACAGTTTAAAGGAGATGTACAAGAAAGGTATTTTACGCAGAGGGTGGTAGGTGCCTGGAACACGCTGCCAGAGGAGCTGGGAGAAGCAGATATGATAACAATGTTTAAGTAGCATTTAGATAGACACATGAACAAGCAGAGAATAGAGGGATACAGACCATTTGCAGGCAGATGGGATTAGTTTAGAATGGCATCATGGTCAGCACAGGCATGTTGGGCCGAAGAGCCTGTTTCTGCGCGGTTCTACTTTCTATGAAACGCTGTCTATAGTTTGGAAATTAATTGTGCTGCTTTGGCCAGTCTGGCAGCTGCTAGAATAATTTCAGCACAGTTTGGTAATCGACTCTTACACACAGTCTGTTTCACGCATTCTGACACACAGAACAACAACCTCAGCTAATATTTAAATAGCATCTTTTCACATCAAAAGATGGGAGGCTTCGTGGCACAGTGTGAGCCAGAAGCTTTAGGTTCAAGTCCCACTGCCGGACTTGATGGCCACAGAAGGTACATTTATAACTGGGTGAAGCAGATCAGTTAGCAGCCTGTAAATCTTTTCAGTATGTTTGTGGCTGGTAGGAAGAGCAGGAGGGTTCCTGTGAACTGTGTACTAGCTGCACTACTGTAATCACCCCATGTTCCCCAAGGGACTCCATGTTTGTGCCATAAGTTCCAATGGAAGCAACCTCCCAGCTTCAGGCTCCCACTGGAAGAGGAATGTAAGCAATAGGGAGGAATGAGGCCATGGAGCATGACAGGTGAGATATTTCAAATGGAGACATTGCTTGGATAGGACTGTACCAGTAAGGTGTACTCAGAGCCATGCTTTCCAAACCTCGTTATGTAGCAGCCTTTAACTCCCTGCTATTCCAGTCTCCAGTTAAATAAAAACCGAAAGAACTGCGGATGCTGTAACTCAGGAACAAAACCAAAGTTGCTGGAAAAGCTCAGCAGGTCTGGCACCACCTGTGAAGGAAAAAACAGAGTTAACGTTTCAGGTCCAGTGACCCTTCCTCAGAACTGATGGTGGCTGGGAAAACGTCAGTTTATATGCAGAAAATAGGGAGGTGGGTGGGGTAGGGAGTAAACGATAGGATAGAGCCCAAAGAGAGAGAAAGACAGTTGGACAGACAAAGGAGTTGCTAACGATCAGGCTGGGAGGGTGAATAATTGTCAATGGGGACTGTTAGTGACTAACAACAGGGAGTGTGTAATGGCAGGCTATGTGGTAACAAGGCCTGGTGGGTGGGGTAGGGGGCTGGGACACGGGAGAGTTTAGGCCCTAAAACTATTGACCTTAATATGAGTCCGGAGGGCTCTATCTTATCGTTTACTCCCTACCCCCACCCACCTCCCTATTTTCTGCATATAAACTGACGTTTTCTCAGCCACCATCAGTTCTGAGGAAGGGTCACCGGACCCAAAACGTTAACT